GGCCGTCCATGATCATGGTGGCCGACGGGTTGGGGAGACTCGCCGATGGGCCCCCTACCACAGAAGAAGGGGTTGTAGCAGCGCCGGCGGCACGCACTACACTAGCGTCGTCCTCGGCACCACTCGTGTCGAGGGGGTGACTCCAGCAGGACACCCGTTCTCGGTCAAGGATAATCGAAATTTAACACTACCTCCAAGCACGAGAGCTTCTCAGAAACTGGTCGCGGCGCGAGCGCTACTTTACTTTTATGAATGGAGTATCTGTTCCATATTTGGAAGTCGCAAGCGAGGGGCGAGCCAATCACGAGGCGGTGCCCCTCCAACGGCGCCCCACCACCAGAGAACGTAACGTGACGTCGCTGTGACGTAACATTACCAAAGCCCTCATCACACCCTTCGACCCGAAAATGTGCAAATCAACACGGAATAATCCGCTAGAATTAAACATCATAACACATGATACTATTTTTGAAAAACATCTGTTGCCACTATTTAAAAATAACAACGTGGACGAATCATGAACCAAAATAAAATCAGCTGGCAAAAGACGGGGGCTGACGTTCTTCATATTATATAATTTTAAGTGGAACTAGGAAAAATCTACAAAGGGTTAAGGGCAAACTCTCCGATTGTGACGTCAGTTCATTCATGAATTTGCTCCCCTCCGGACAGCATGGCGACGATCCCTGGAACAATCCCCACTATTGTTACCCCTACCTGGAATTTCATTCAATAATGCCACAACGGCTCCCCGCAATTTATTCATAAAATGTCCCTCTCTTCCCGATATCAATGAAAGTGATACTTCATACTACTTTGCAACGAAACAATCAATAAAACAAAATGGACGCGCCTATTTCAACATGTTTTAGGTTCCTGAGGCACTTGTTGCGTCCAAACAGGAAAAAAGCGAAAAATAGGAGAAAATAAATATAAATAATTGCGTTTTATCTCATTATGTTGACTTAAATTCGAATAAAAATATTTTAGTCGGGAAACTAGTATTTTCTGTAGTTAAAAATCGATAGGATTGTTCAGTTAGTGAAGCTGTAAAATTTTTTAAATGAGTTGAACTTATTTTTTTCATAACAAAAATCTTAAACTTGCAACAGAAATTTGCAAATATTTATTAATCCTAAAATAAAAGCAAAACCCGAGATGACATCATTTTTATTACTGAAAAAAGTGGAACGCATTTGTTTTTTCTAATACATTTTCTGAACCAACCCTCATACTTACCTAATACAAGATTTTTTACTTAAAATCACTAACTGAACAATTCTACCGTTGTTTGTGGACTGAAAAAATTAGCACCAAAAAATTCACTAATTGCTGAACTATTGTAAAAAATACAAAATTTAACAAAAACAGGAATTTGAAATTAAAATATTTTTTTTATGATGGAAAATGGTATATTATGTTATTAGGAGTAAAAGTGATAGTTTATTTGGCTGAAACCGCATAAACTCACTTTGATTTTACCAACAAATGTGTCAGATTGAGAAGAAAGTGCAACATTATAAGTAGCAAGTAAATGAAGAAATTAATTAAGACGCTTTGCCAGTAATGAAATCATAACAACGCTGCGCCAGTAACGAAATTTGTGTTGACTTTTATTTTTTTTTATTTTCAAAATTTTATCCTAACGAGAATTTTAAAAAAATCCCTTTTTCACTCTTCTTGATTTTATTTAAAGTAGCAATAAAACATAAAACATTAAACAAATTGTTTAAAAAAAATTATAAAAATTTTTTGAACCTAATTTTTTAGATCTAGAATGACGATTAAGAAAATATGCTTTTTCATATTTTCCAAATGATTTTTTCCGCTTTTCCGCTTTTTTTTCCTTTTTGTGTTTTTCTAGTCTAAATCTCGAGAATCCATTTTTATTTTCAAATGCTGAAAGCGTAACAAAAATTGGAAAAATGAAGAGCAAGTAAATGAACAAAATAATAAGAACGTTTTGCAAGTAATATTAACGCTTATAAACAAAAGTCACGCAACAGTATCAAAATTTGTATTAAGATTTCGAAAGCGTTTAATAATTTAACTAGTGCAGTTAGTAGGGTAAAATGTTTAATGCTGATAACCTACAAGCTAGTTTCCAGAAATTGCTGAAACCACATTGGTAATTGTCAATAAATAAGTAAAAACACTTAGGTGCAAAAATACAATTTTTACTCCATGACGGAAAGGAAAAACTTTTAATTTAGTCATAAAAACAGTCACTTTTGTGACGTTTGCGGATAAAAACGTTTATTTCGAGACAATGTTGAATATTTACAATTGAAAATTGTAAGAAAATTTTTAGATTGACTAGAATTTTTGCATTTTTTATAATAAGTTGCTGCCACGCATAACAATTTTTTAGTGAAGTCTCGGTTAAAGATTAAAAAAAAATAAGATGTTAAAATTTAGTCACCTGAATCCCATTTTTTTGAATTAAAACTTGCCCCACCCGGTTTATTAGAGTAAATAAATTACAAAAACAAATT